TGTACAACTTTAGTCATTGTCTAATTTAAGTAGTCTGCCATACAGATGATTGACTATCTGTTGGTTCTACACTATGCAGCTATACCTGCAACCCACCTGTGAGTTATCTATTTAAATACTCTAATCATTAACTCTTCTCCCCATTCCAAACTAATGTCACCACTATGTCCAACTGCTTATGCCAGCTGGTTCACCCACAAATCTATTTCTCTGCATAGCTTAGGTCCTCTCAGAATATGTATACCCAACATATTGTAAACTGCAAAGCTTCAGTTAACCTTAGAAGTATTTCCTACCAGAGTGGTCATGTGCCCATTTACAGATTCACCTGAATTAGACCCTTGTTGATGTTTGTACAAACCCAGTTCCTGCCATAGCTGTCTACCAGATATAGTCTTCCAAGTTCCAGCCAAATGTTTCATGAGGTAGATCCTCCCAATCTAGTTAGCCACCAAGCCAAGTTGGTGTTACTACTAATGCAAGATACCAGGTTGCATTATACAGCGGACTTACTCATACCTATTGATCTCACATCCTTCATACTCAGGTTTTTCACTGGATTAGGTATTAACTAGCTTGACTGTTGAAATTCGTACTACTTTACCAAACTCGGGATTTCTACTATGCAGGTCCCTGCTCATGGATCCTATCAAGATTTATTTGCATAATGTAACTTGAGCATTGCGTCACACTTCCAATGCCCGATTGACATTGGTGTAATGTGATTTACAGGGTTGTAATCCCCAGAAACAGCAGAGTTTACCGTAAGTTGGGTACAAAGGTCCGGGTAATTATTCAAATTTGTCGACAGTGGGATTTGAACCCCAGACCTCTTGCATGGCGGTTTGACAATCTAACTACTACACTAAGATCACCAGACCCTTTATTTTATTCAATTTTTATAAAAGAAAATTATTATTATTATTAAAAAAAAATTAAATTAAAAATTTATTAATTAAATAAAATCCTCATGAAAAAAGTTCAAAAACTAGTAAATTTCGAAAAATTTTTTAATGTATAATAATAAATTTAAAATTATCACCTTTATCATGTGATTTTTATCTTTAGAATACCAATAAAAATTCGCCCTGAGATTAAACTCGAAGAGTTTAATCGAATGAAATATGAGACTTTGTCTCATATTGATTTGAGATTTATAACAACGTTATATATCGATCGAAAGCTCGGGGAAACGTAAAATGAAATACTGCATATTGAAGTATTTTTGTTTTAAGCTAACAGTGTAACACAAAGTAGTGAAGCGCCATTGGCTAGTTTCCCCGAGCTTTTGTATGAAAGTATAAAAATATAAAAGTACAGATCTACAGATGTTAAAAGTCTATACATACAGATCTAGTTTTTGGGCAAAAAATCATGTGACTAATACACCATAAGAAAAATATTAAAAAGGAATAAATTTGTTAAGAGTGAATAAAAAATGGTGGGTTTTTTATTAATGATGATCAGCAAAAAAGACAGAAATTGGTAAAAACTGTGGTTTACTGCGTCTAAAATTTTCCAATTTCTGCCTTTTTGTAATTAATTTGATTTTATCACATTTAAATTTTAAGAAATCACAAAATTAACATACCGAAAAAATTCTATATTAAATTGATTAATAATTTAATTTTTTTATTAATAATTTATGTAATTGATAAATAAAAGAAATAATGTTTAAATTTATTTTAAAATGTCTGAAAATAGATTTTTACATATTTGTTATACATCATATCATTGTTATGGATGTAGAGATAATTTTCAATATAAACAAAGAAAAAAGGAATTTACACAGGAAGAAAGAGAAGATCTAAATAAAAAAGATAAAATCCTTATTTGTTGTTTATGTGATAAGAAACATTTTAGATGTAAATCAAAAAAATATGATAAATGTTGTAAGAGAAATGCATGTGATTCGTATTTGTGTAAACATTGTTTAGAAAATGGTATTGATTGTAAATATACGATTGTACAGAGTTTAGAAGAATTAAAGAGTTTTATTAAATATAATTTGATTGCATATGCAGGACAACTTGAATATACTAAAGAAGGTAAAGTTCATGTTCAAGATTACTGTCAATTTAAAAAAAAAAAAAGAAAAACGAGAAGAAAAATTTGTGAAATGTTTAAGGATTATACTATATGGATTCCAGAAAAAAAAGTTAGAAGTGATTCTGATGAGAATATATTATATGCAACTAAAGAATATAATCCATGTGTTAGACATAAGAAGAGAGAATGTAAATGTCATCATGGTGATAATATATGTGAAATTTGTAATGATGAATGTTCAGAAAAGACAAAAAGTAGAATTGAAGGATTAAGTAGTGAGGTTAGACCATTTAAATTTGGAAATTTTCGTTATATAGGAGATAAAGAATGTAATAACCAGGATAATGATGAAATAGAAAATAATGATATGGAAGATGATAATGATAATCGTGATGGAAAAGATAATATTGATCATAAAACAGAATTGCAAAGAAAAAAAAATGAAGAATTTGATGCGATCATAAAAAGAAATAAAATGTTGTTAGACAGTCACACACCGTTAGAAGTTTTTAAACGTAACAGAGGCAAAGTTACATATTCGAGTAATTATTCTAATATAGGAAAAATTTATCGTAATGTACGAGAAGAAAAAATGAATTTAAGGAGTGATAGGTTTTGGCATCCTTTTACAGTTTATATTTATGGACCTGGAGGAAGTGGAAAGACAGGATTCATTAAAGCTTTGTTTAGAGATGAATTATATGATAAACCAAAGAAGAAAAGAAATAGTTCTAATTGGTGGAATAAATATAAAGGACAGAAAATTGTTTTATTGGATGAGTTTTATACGAAAATTGATTGGGACAATATAGTGAATATATTAAATGATAATATTTGTGATGTAGAATTAAAACATGGTGGATTTGTACCGTTTATTGCAAAATATGTGTTTTTAACAAATACAAAACCACCAGAAGAAGCATATAATTTTGGTCAAAATGGTCATGAAGAAGATTCAAATAAATGTAGTTTTGAGCAATTTGATAGAAGATTAGATATTATTATTGAATTTAGAGGTAAATGGCATAATGATATTAATAAAGGACAACAGAGATTATATTTCATAGAGGTGATGAACAGAAATTTCGTAATATGGAATGGGATGTAGAATATAATAATAGTAAATATACTGTGGATAAGATTCTTGAAAAGGCAGAAGTATTTACGGAAGGTTTAGATGGTGAGCATTTTGATTAGAATGGAATAGTTTATTGGCAATGAAAATTTGAAAAGTATAAAGTAGAATATTTACAAGATTATCCTAATTGTAAGAAAATGGTAGAATATAGACAGATAAAAAGAAAGAAATCTAATGATGAATTAGTAATTATTAAAAGAAATAAAATAAATATAGATATAGAATTAGATAATAGTAATGAAATAAGTGATAATAAGATGGATATTTAATTTATTAATTTTTTTTTTAATTATTAATAAATAAAATATATAAATAATTTAATTAATATAATTTTAGATAAATAATAAAATGAGTTTAAAGAGAAAAAGAGAATTGGAGGATTATAGAAAAAATGATTATATTCTTAATAATAATATATCAGTAGAAGAAATTATAATGAATCCTAGATTAATGCCTAGTACGTAGGTTAATACTACACAAAAATGTAGACAAGTAGAAAAAAAAAGAAAAAAAATCGAAAAAGAACGTAGAGGTGGTAGGTTTTGGCATCCTTTAACATTTTATTTTTATGGATTTGGAGCAGAAATTGTGAGAGAGTTATTTGGAGATGAGTTATATGATAAACCAGATATAAAAAAAAATAGAAGTACTTGGTAGAATAAATATGAAGAACAAGATATTGTTTTGTTGGAAAATTTTCATAAAAAAGTTGGATGGGATAGTATTGTAAATATATTGAATGATACTGAACATAGTGTGGAAATAAGATATGGTAGATTCAAATATTTTCTTGCAAAATATATATTTATGACTGATATGAAATTACCTCAAGAAACATATAATTTTAATGGTAAAGGCTGGGAAAATTGGAGCCAGTTTGAAAGACGTCTAGATTATATTATTGAATTTAAAGATAATAAATTTATATTTCATAAAGGTAATAGAGATAAATTTTTAAATATGGAATAGGATATTAAATATAGAAATGGTAAATATACTAATGAAGAAATTATTGATAAAGGAAAAATGTTTACTAGAAATATTAAAGGTAAACATTTTATTATAAATAAAAAAGTATATTGGCGACGTGAATTTTCAGATAAAAAGAAGAAATATTTACATGATTATTTTAATAATAATTAGATTAAATTTGATTATATATTATTAATTAATTAAAAAGATTTATTAACAATAAATTTATTTTAAAAAAGATATTATTAATCAATTAATGTATAAATAATGATAATAAAATATTTTTGAAATGTTGTTAAAATTATCAAAATGTCTTCTGATGAATTTTCAAATAAAAAAGAAACAAGGTTACATGATGAACTTCAAAATGATTATTTTTATTATGGTGATAATGATGATGAATCAATAATCATTGTAGTTCTTGATTATATTAATAATAATAACGAAAAAATTATTAATAATAAAAATATTACTAAAAAGATCAAAAAAGTTTTTATAGATAATTATATTGATAAAAGTTTTAATGAAATAAAAGAGAAATATTTTAAAAATTTAAAGAATCTAGATTGTGAATTTAATACTGAATCTGCTATTGTTTTTAATGAATTAAAGACTCAATTTGAGATTGATATTGGGGATAAAACATTTCGTCGTTTGAAAAGAAAAAATTCGAATATAGATGATGAAAAGTTTTTTAAACAAGTTCAAGAAGAAGTTCATGATACAATTTTGAATTATTCATCAGTAATTATTGTTTGGATTGATTATTAATTTATTTGTATTTGTATTTATTATTATTTTTATTTAGGTGATATTATGTTATGATATTGATGATGATAGTGTTGAATTCGAAAATTATAAAAAATCTGAAGAATTTAGATATTTGGTTAATAAAGAGTCTTTGTGACAATATAGAGAATATAAACGTCGAAAATTATTAGAATTTAAAGAAGAAGAAGAAGTTAGAAAAGAAATAGAACAGATAGAAAATCAACTTGAATTTTATTATAAAGATCTTGAATCAGAAGCAAAAGAATTGATAAAGAGTTTTATTGAAATTAATAAGAAAATAATAAGAAATAAAAATGATGAAGAGGCAGGAGAAGAAATTAATAGATTAGATGAAAAATTGTTAAAGAACAAGATTATTTCAAAGGAAAATATAAAAGAGATTATTAAATATTATAAAAGATTAGTTGATTTAGAATTTAGTTTATCTATTATTAATTAATTTTTATTGTTATTATTAATTTAAATATTATATAAATATATCTTATTCGAAATTGTTTTATATTGGTAATTGATAATAAAGATATTTACAAATTGAAAAATAAAAAATGAGTCAAAAAACAAATAAAAATAATGTTTTGAAAGATAAAGTTTATAGTTTTAATAATTCTGAAGAAATTGAAAATAACAGAAAAAGAAGAATTATGGTTGAAAGGGAATTTAATAAGAATTGAAAACCTTTAGTATTTTATGTTTTTGGTCATCCTGGAATTAGAAAGACGAGTTTTGTAAGAAAATTATTTGAAAAAGAATTATATGATAAATCGAATTTAACAAAACATAGAAATAGTTAGTGGGATAACTACAATAAACACGAGATTGTTTTATTAGATGATTTTGAATTAAAAGTTGATTGGGAAGAATTGATTTATGTTTTAGGTGATGATGATGTTCAAGTTCAACAAAAATTTGATGAGTTTAAACCATTTCTTGCAAAATATGTATTTTTGACAAATGTAAAATCATTTGATAATTTATATAAAAAATATGACGATGCAAATGAATTATATGATTTAATTAATTATATTGTTGAATTTGATATTGGAGGAAAAATCAAAATTAATAAGGGTGATAAAGAGAAATTTTTCAATATGGAATGGGATGTAGAATTTAAAAATAGCTTTACTGAAAAAGAGATTAATGAAAAAGGAGAGATGTTTGTTAATGAAGAAATTATTAAAAGAGGAGAAATTTTTACTAAAGATACGGATAGTGAATATCTTGTTAGAGATAGAAAGGTTTATTGGAGATGTAATTTTTCAAATAATAAAAAAGAAATCTTGAAACAATTGGAAGAAAAAAAATAAATAAATATGTTAATATTTTTTTTTAATCGAATCGTTCTTTGATTAAAGATATTCTAAAGTCTATTATTTATTTGAATATTTTTAAACAAACAGTGATTCAATTATATATTTTATATGTTTTTATATTTAAATAAAGAAATATTTTTTATTATAAATATTTAGTGTTAGTAAAAAATCAAAATTAAAAAAAAAATAGCAGATAGAAGAAGAAGATCAAAGTTTAGGATGAAAAATTCAGAACAAGAATTTGATAGATTTTGGAATCTGATTATTTTTTATTTTTACGAAAATACTGGAACTGGAAAGACAAGTTTGATATATACCTTATTCAGAGACGAATTATATGAAAAATAAGAAAAAACAAGATCTGGATCTGGTTATTGAGATGATTATGATGGTGAAGAGATTATTTTGTTAGATAAATACCATAAGAAAATTGAATGGAAAGATTTAATGAATTTAATGAATGATAGTAAATATATGGTAGAAACAGAAGAAGGAGAATTTGTACCGTTTCCTACGAAATATATTTTTATAACTAATAGAAAGTCTCTAGAAGAAGCCTATGAATTAGATGCAGGTGATAGTGATAGATTTGATAAATTCGAAAATCGTCTTGATTATATAATTGAATTTACCAGAAAATAGCATGATGATATTGAAAAAAGAAATATAGATATTAGATTTCATAAAGGTAGTGAAGGAAAATTTTGAAAGATGGATTGAGATATAAAATATGATAATAGAGAATATGAAAATGAAGAAATTATTGATATAGGAGAAAAATATGTCAAAAATATTAAAGGTAAACATGTTGAAAAAAATAGAAGTATATATTGGTGACCAGAATTTCAAAGACATGTAAAAAAATATTTAGACGAATATCCTAGATGTAAAGAATTATATAAATATAAAGAAGATAAAATTATTCTTTCTATTAGAAATTCTAGTACAACTACTTCAAGAAAACCTAGTACTTCTATGAATAGAAATAGTGGTACAATTACTTCAAGAAAACCTAATAAATGTGATATTAAATATAGATCATTATGGTCAGATAGTGAAGGTGGTGTTTTGGGATATCAAAATAAAGAGTATTATTAATTATTATGTTTATTATTAATTAAATTTAAATATATAAATAAATAAATTTGTTTTATTATTAATAAAAATGGTTATGAAATATTCAGAAATACAAACTGCTAAATTTAGTTATGATTCTGAGAATAAATGTATGGTTGTCGGTGATACATTTGAGTATATAGTTGGATTATATTTGAAAAGAAATGGATTAAATCCAAAAATAATCAAAAATTATTTAATTATTGGTGGACAATTATTAATGAAAAATAATGATAAATCTTTATGATCTGGAAAAGTAATTTTACTAGATGATTATTCTATAGAAGGCTTGGAAATTATTAATACAGGAAAATATAGTATATTTGGTGATGATGGAATAGATATTTGGTGTAGATGGGAAGGTATACCTTTATTGGTACAATGTAAATTTCGATCTGTTTGTGAATTTTGTAAGACTAAAAAAAGAAAATGTAGTTATGGATATTGGAAAAAAGATATGATTAAAGATGTAAAAAAATTTGATGATAAATTATCAGAATATAAAGTAGATGTATTTGGTATATTTGTGATTAGTGAAGATATATTAATATATGAAGAAGTTAATAATATGAGATTTAAGAATGTTATGAAAGTTGTTAATTTTTCTAATGAATTAAATTATGAAATTGATATATTGGGTAAAAAATTATTACAAAAAACATAAATAATGGAGTGGTGTATAAGTCTTTGCGATAATAAACATGTAGAATTAGAAGTTGCTTATAGGAGTATAGAAGCAACGATCACTGATAAAATAATATTGAGTACAGATTTTTATTTCAAGAATTTAGAAAAAATACTTTATTATCTTAGACAAGCGTATAATATTACAAGTTTAAATGATATTTGTAATGAATTAAATTTTTTAAATATAGTTTAATAATAAATTTATTTAATATAATTAATAATTGAAATTAATATATTTAAAAAATATTTTTTTTTTATTTTGATAATTTATTTGAAATAAAATTGAATATAATGAATGAATTTGAGAAAGAATTTAAATAATACGGATTACGGATTGATCTGCAATCCGCATACTTGAATAGTTATCATGTGATGATTGCAGGATTGACAAAGATGTTTAGATCCAGGAAACTACAGTGTCCAGTCACATTGCTTTCACCACTGAAATGTCGAGGCTTGATTATTTTGCAGAGAAATCTACTTGGAATTTACTAGACTTTCTAGAATGGGGTGCAGCCAATTTCAAAAAAGATTTTGGAAGTAAAGATGAAGAACACCTTACTTATAAAATAAATCTGGAAACCATTAAGAATAAACCAGAAATATTGTTATTTCGCGACAGTTTTACGGTTAGAAAATTAGCAACAGAAGCGTTAGAAAATTTTAAGGTCAAGAAACTTTATTTCAGTATTTTCATTATGTGCTATCATGAAGGGTGTGTCAATCAAAGTGCTAGGATGCGTCTGAAAGTCCAACGGATGAGTCTTGCGGGTTGCACCTGTGAGACAATAGCCCTTCGTGATTTTCCTTTATTATTAATTTTGCCAGAAGTGCTAGGATGCGTCTGAAAACCCAATGGATGCGTCTTGCGGGTTGCACTTTATTGATACGCGTTTGGATGCGTCTAAACAGTATCAGGCATTTTTTTTATATTTTATTTTATTATTATTTATACAGGAAGAAGTTAAATCGATTGAAATTAAAACTTTCTGGGAAAATTGTCCTACATTTATGATTTCACTGACAAAGGTGATAAATTTAACTTCTACAAGGATGGTGTCTCGGGTTTCAGAGCTCCATGATGATTTAAGCAATGCTATTTATACAGAAACGCGAGATCAAATATCTTCATGTAATTATATTTTACTTTTTATATTACTTTGTATATCTGTATTCTGTTGATTTTCTCTAAACATAAGTAATAAAAGTTCCGAAAAGGAAAAAAACCGATTCGTTGCAAAATAATGGAAAGAAGCTCCATCTTGACAAAACAGAAAATAGCCATATTATGAAAGAAATGGTGGTTATAAAATTAATAGTTGTCATTTTTGATATTGATGATTCGCGAGATTAACAAAAAATCTTCTTACTTTACGATCTAGGGAAATACGCTTAAGGAACGTAACAATATCGAGGATGATTCGCCAGATAGAAAGAAACTATTACCTATTAAAGTTAGTTATCTATTTTTTTTAATAACTAAAAATGACGAATTGTTTTCTGTTTTTTTTTTTTACTACTGTACTAACGTATTAGAAAATTCATAACATAGTCAATCCAATTCAATTAATTCAAACATATATATTATACAGGTTGAGACTGATAAAAAAAAAATTAGCATTGAAAAAAAAATCTTTGGTGAACTATTAAGTCGACACATTTATCTACTTTGTAAACCGTTCAGAGAACTTTGCAAGGAAGAAGCAGAAGAATTATTTAATAAAATAGATAGCAATACAACCGTTGAATTGGACCTTTCTACAAATATAATAGAATATCTCCAAGATCTACTTAGCGGTGATATTAAAAGTGCATTGTCTAAGATAGAAAAACCTCCTAATGATGAAAGTCAATTATTATTATGGGTTAGAGAAGTTTGTCGTCACTTTCTTCTATACTATTATCATGGTGGCTTACAAGTTGATGGTAGTGAAAAAACTTGGTCAACACAGACGGTTTATCGCATATTGGATTTATTTTCAACTTTTTTCGGGAAAACTATATCAGGTATTGCATTGTAAGTATTCTTTTCTTTTGTTCTTTTTATGACAGATTGACATTAATAATGTTTTTGGTATAGTGGCGAGATCATGAATGAAGCTCATAACGATAGAACATATAACATTAACTATAGTCAAAAGCCGTCAAATTACGGATGTGTAAGCAAAAATGACGCTGTCTTATACCAAGATGAAATCGCTGCTGTTTTGTATGAACAATCGTTTGGTCCTACGGAATTCACTCTAAACCACCAATTAGAAGATTTTGCTAAGCTAGCGCACAATGGAGTCGATGATTTGAACTTTCATTTTAATCAAAATAGAAATTGTACAACTAATACGGCTAAAAAATTTAAGTCTATAGGGATCCATGGTTATAGTAGGTTTTTTTCTATCTTTTTTTGTATAAATAATGTAATACTGTTCTTATTTTTTTTTTTTTTTTTTAGAATATTTCTTATCTGTATATCTTACAGACATTATTTGGATTAGAACGTACAGAATTTACGAAATATTTAGTTGTAAAATTCCGATCTCTTATTCAGAACGCTGGCAATTAGTGAATATTGCAAAGTTTGGTGCAATTCTCGAAGTATATACTTTATTTTGAATAATGGCCATATTTTGATTAAAATACTTTACAATTAAACTATTTAACATCTGTTATAGAAATTACTGATTGAACGACAAAATATCAAAGAAGAAATGTCAAAAGAAAGTATTCTAAATAATCTTGAAACAGATTATATATATAGCTGGATAAAAATACCAGATAATACGCCTAAGAGCAAAAATAAAAATTAATAAACATGATAAATGTACGTACGTATGTAACCATGCAGTTTCACGTGAAAGTCTTTTGAGTTTCGCCGCATAGTGATGCGATTTAGTTATTCGATCTCAAGATATTCGCTATCCAAGATCAGATAGAATATTGTATCCGTTATCCACTCAACATATATCTGTTTTATCTGGCAAATGTAATTATTATTTTACAAGAATATATCAGTTGATCAACATGTCACGCAGATCATGTGTGTAAAATTTCTAATTATGAGTCAAATATCTAAAATTTTTAATATATAAAATTTAGGCAAATTTTGCTTTTTTGATTTATTTAGACAAAAAGAAGCTGTTGGTTTAATTAAGATGATTTTGCAATTCTTTAGCATTAGAAGGCTCTTTTCACAAAATTTCAAGAGTGGTTTATAATAAAATTGAGTTGGTTTCAAAGTAAATGTGCCAACTCATAGCCGCGAACTATTCTCGAAAAAAAAGTGCTAGAATATAACATGATTATCTGGCAAATCAGATGCATTTTTGATCACTAACCAGGAACAATGTTAAGGAAATCAATCTGTTGTAAATCTTATAATAAATTATAAGAAAATGCAAACTTTAAAGGGCTACACTATAAAATTTTATTAATACAACTACTTGTGTGTTTTAAGTAAAAAATAATCCTAATATCATTCTAAATTGATTTATGTAAAATTACTCTTGAGAAAAATGTCAATTTGGTCCCTTTTTCAGCACCTAGCCCATCTAGTATCCGAATCTATGCAGATCTGTTAAAATCCGGATAATATGAATCTAGGTTTATTAGCTGGGATAACTAAAATGAGTTTCTTTTTATAATTATTTTAAACTTATTAATTTTTACTATATGAAAATATTTATTTAATATAAATAATAATATTTGTATAGAAAATATTAAAAATGTGGTAGAATTAATAGAACAGTGGGTATACATCCACGAAAAATTTTTGGTAATATTTTTTTATATTATAAAAATGGGTGAATATTATCTAAACAATTATAATTCCTTTTTAAAAACATCAAACGCTTGAAAAATTCAGGACTCATGCGTGTTCTCTTGGGACCCAATAAATTACCACAATCAGAGAATAATCGTTCAGAAGGTGTGGATGTAGCTGAGACCGAAAGGTAAGCACGTGCTAACTTACTAATGACAGGAAACCTTTGTTTGTTCATATTCCACCACGCAAAGGGGTCAGATTCAAAAGGTATTTGTGGAACCGCAAGGTAATCATCTAATTCACTCTGTAAATTAAGAGGTGAAGGATTGTTAAAGATATTCAAAAGTGTTGGCTTATAAAAAAGAGAAACAGTAGTATTATGAAAATAAGAAGTGGATGAAGTATTAATAGTAGATATCGTTATTGAACTATCACGTGTTTCATTATATTTGATTCTTAATAATTCCTGAATCTGCTTAGATTTTTCAGGTGCAAAATCAAATTTTTTAACACGAGGATCAAGGATGGAAGGTAAATAGGATTTGGTATTATCTTTTTTCCAATAATAGTGCATGGCACGATATAATGTTTCTTTAACCTTTTCCAAAACTCCAGATGTTTGTAAGGGTTTATCTAAGTCTATTTTTTTATGTAGATCATCTTTCTCACAAATTTCAAGCTCTACAAAAATATCATTAATACTTTCAACATTTATTTCCTCGGATGATATAGATACAGGTTTGAGTATATCAATAATACGTATCATTATAGGATTCATTATACTATAAGTAACATAATTGCTACCACCGAGGTATCTAGTTGCTTCTTCAAATGGTCCTAATAATGGAATCAAGTTATGAAGTAAAACCCATTCATCTTTTGTTAACATTATTTTAGTTAGATACTTGGAATCCTTTTTAGAATCAAGATTTGAATCATTAGCCAAATCAACTTCCAGTATACGAATATAATTTTCTAATTCTAAAAGACGACACCATGCCAAGTAACTGGAATTCCAGCGAGTTGGTACGTCTGCAATTATATGTCTTAAATATGTCGAAGTCTTCTTAGTATTCTAAAAATAATGCTAGTTAGTAAAGTATATTAAATATATAAAAAAAAAATTAGACATACGATAGATTGTTCCTTAAAATGTAAAAATAAATATTTAGCAATTAAAAATATAAATAACAGTAACGTAATAAAAAAACAATAAAACTTGTAAACCTCGCTTGATTTTGTATATCTATTTTGTATGTTTTTCAAACGCTCGGATTGTTTTGGCCTTAAAAAAAAATCAATCAAGCGTTTAACACGACCAATCAAGATCTTAACCGGTTCTAATCCTTTTCCTATTACTAATTGAAGGGTATGTGCTGCACAGGGTTGCCAAGTTATTTTTTCTGCAGATTGTTTTAATCTTTTGACAGCCTTTTGCATGTTCTTTCCGTTATCGGTAGTTATTGTAAAAACCTTATTACGTAACTCTAATTCATCCAACAATGGGAGAATAGAATCACTAATGTTCTCAGCAGTATGTGGATAACGAATGTGTTCAATAGAAAGTGTGATTTCATGAAATCTAAATTCATTATCTATATACGAACATGTTATACCTAAATACCCTTGTCTATTTTTACTCGTCCACAAATCACATGTTAAAGATATAGAAATCGAATCATTTTTTACTTTCTCCATGATTAATTTATATGAATGATTATACGCAAGATGCATAAGTTTTTTTATGTATTTGATACATGGAATTTGAAATTTTGGATCTAACCCTGTTATGAATTTTCTAAAAGCTGGGTTTTCAAGAACAGTAAAAGGTTGCGAATCAGTTATAATCCAATTTGTAAGAAAATGACACAATTGAAGTTGACGTGACTCATTATGGGGTAGGTTAATTAATTCTATATTATTTTTATTTTTAACTTGATCTTCAGTGATCCCATGAGCGCTTAAAAGATGAGCAGAGCAATTACTTGTTGACGTGTTAACCCTGTATTTTGTACCGCACTTTTTTCCCTCTACCTTCTCAACCTTACAAATCGCATGTCTCACGTTATCAATATACATATGATCAAAGTACTGCCAGACCCAACTTCTAAGATTCATACCTTCTCGAGTATCATTAAATTTTGTATTTTTATTAAAATCAGATAATTTGGATGATGTTTCGGTATTATCATCACGAACAGACATTCTTTTCAATAAAATTAAAGATAAACATTGGCGCAATTCAAGATTTTATTTTATTGATTCGTTGTTTACCAAAACAAGGAAATAAAATAATTTTAAGCAATCCGCGGATTGAACGGATTACACAAGAAAATCCAAATTATACGGATTACACAAAAATCCGGATTTTGAACGGATATCCGAATTGCGGATAACACTTAACGTTAAATTTACATTTACATTTTTGGACATTTCAATAAGTGAGTATGCTAAAATACGTCATATAACATAAATAATCAGCTTAATTTTGTATAATACTGAAACTTTGTGTCATAGCACAGCTTAAATCAGGAAACCTAAACTGTACTAATCAAAGCTTCGATCTAAGTTTCTATCAAAATATGTTCGCGAAAGCGAAACTGAGAAGTGAAGACAAATCACGAAGTGGAATAGAAAGTGAGATTAAACCTATAAGTAATTGTGAAATAGATAGTGAATATGGTGAAGATAGTGAATATGATTTTGATTTTATCCAACGAATAGAGCGTAACGAGGATTACAGGGATTATAAACTAATCTGGATCCCATACAATGAATTTGGTGGTATTAAAAAAATTGGAGAAGGTGGGTTTGCAACTATATACTGGGCACAATGGTGGGATAAATATACATGGGAAATTGAAAATAAAGACATAGTGAGAGAATTTGCACTTAAAGTATTTAATAATTCAAGTAATTCAAATGAAATTTGGAATGAGGTAATTTTTTATTTAAAAATTTATTTCACACTTTGATTATATAACTAATATATTTTTTTAAAGGTGGATGTTTATTGCTATATTGGATTAAATGAATTACATATGCCTATTGAGTTTGGAATAGTTGATTCAGATATTGGATTAGAAAATTTACCGTTTTTGAGATGTTTCGGAATGTCAAAAGATCCTTCTGGAGATTATATCCTTATAATGGATTATGTGAAGATGGGTTCTTTAAATAAAAATCTTCACTCTGTATCTAAAATGGAATGGAAAAATAAGTTGAATTTGTTACTTAGTATTGTTTCAAAACTTGAAAAAATGCATATGCTTGGTTGTACTCATCAAGATTTACATGGTGGAAACATTTTGCTAAATTCTTTAGATGATGCATTTGTTGTAGATTTTGGATCTTGTAAGAAACATGATGGTGGAATTTATGGAGTTATGCCTTATGTTGCTCCTGAGGTTTTATTAGGTAAAGAGTTTACAAGTGCAGCAGATATTTATGCGTTGGGTGTTATCATGACGGAAATATCAACAGGACAGAGAGCTTTTGATGGTGAACTTTTTGATGAAGATATTCAATTAGATATTATTTTTGGATCACGACCGGAATATGCTCTTGGAACTCCCGATTGTTATGTTGAATTGGCTAAGCAATGTATGGATTCAGACCCACAAAAATGGCCTATTGCTGGATTCATTTATGATAAACTTTATGAATGGTATAAAATAATAAAACATACAGATGATACAAATGAAATTAAGAAGCAATTTTTGGATGCTGATGAAATCAAACCAAATCCAAAACTACTAAACCATTTGGATAACATGTACACTAGCAAATTCATCAGTACGCAAAAAATACTATCAATTCTTTTTAACTGCAATTTACAAGAACGTCACAGTAAAAGACATCCACTTTTTAAATATGGGTACGGTCTACCAATTTTAAATAAAACCCGGAATCTATATGGATTGAATGCTGAGAAAATGGAGGAAATTGACGAAAAATAAGCTCTTATTGATAATACCGTATCTTCTAATAATGGGAGTTGTCAAGGAACTATTCTTAAGTTCTGGATACGTGTGCAATAACATTTTGAAGTATCTGGATCCGGACAATTAACATAATTTTGCCCAACAATAGCGCAACCGCTAGAACATTTGGAACCTGTTTCGCAACCAACACGCTGAAGCTTTCTTTTTTCTAATGAAAAAGAATTTGCAATTAAAATCATCGTAAAGATAATGAGAAAGATTTGTTGGTACAGTCACACCTCCCTAAGTGCATCCTACTGGGACCATAGTGAAAAAATTGCAAATTTGCACTTAGAGAGTGTTTGCACTTATAGAATGTAAAATATATATGTTTCTTATAAGTTGGAACCAAACCATGGTATGTATTTATAGAGGTTTTATATAGTACTTGCACTTAGAGGGTGTGCACTTAGGGTAATTCATAAATCTAAAAAATAAAAATAAAAATTATTAAAAAAATATATTACTTAATTAAAAAAAAGAACGTATACAGTATATGACATACTTTATAATAGAAATCGAGTTTTTTAATTAACCTGAATTGAATAAAATTTAGAGCTATCATTCATTATCTGTAGTACGGATAATGATCTATGATCCGCATATTTGAAAGGATTACACAAAAATCCGAACGGATGAACAGTTTGAACAAGTACCCCAGTGGCACCGACAGATTTTCGCTGATCGACATAAATTGACCAATTAGATTTTAAGATCAGGTGTAACGTGAAAATCATGCGTTTTTTTAAAAAATAATAATAACTCAAAATTTTATATATGAAACTACTTACTGTGCTAAATTTTGATATAAAAAAAGCTCCAATGCGATCATGATGTTTTATTATTTTAAAAATTGTTGTTTTGATCAAATCTGATTGGTGTCGATCAGTGAAAATCTGTCGATGCCACTGGGGTAGTATAGTTTGAACAGATTGATCATCTATTCGCATATTTTTTGAACGGATTGACGGATTACACATTGTGTAATCCGGATAATACGGATTATACAAAAATACGGATTTTGAACAGATATACGGATTGCAGATCAACGGATCACATCTCTATATTGGACTGTGATCAATTTATTAAAAAGGAAAAGATTGCAGAGGGTGCATTCGGTATTGTTTTTAAAGCAGAATGGATAATTCATAAATTACCTGTCGTTTTAAAAATTTTTAAACCAGAATTGAATTCAGATCAAGACAACATTGAAAAAATTTTTAATGAGGTATTTATTAATTGAAATTTATTTTTTTTTTAATAGTGTATTAATTATTTTTCTATAGTTTCGATTTTTACAAAAATTAGGAGTTCATCCAAATATAAATAATGTTTATTGTATTTTTATAGGTAAATAAAAAAATTATTATTAGGATATTTAATTATTTAAGTTTAATCTATATTTATTATACAGATTCTTTTGGTTGATATAATATGGTATTGGAATTTGCAAATAATGGAAATTTACGAAAATATTTAAAAATTAATTATAAAAATTTGAATTGGGATGATAAGATATCTATGGCAATCGAAATATCACGTGGACTTTTATTTTTACATAATCAGAATATCATACATCAAGATCTTGTAAGTATTTAATTATTAAAATATTAAAAAAAAAAAGATTTTACTAAATATAATATAGCATTCGAAAAATATTTTAGTGGATAATGGGAGTTTGAAAATAGCAGATTTTGGATTATCAAAAACAATATCTGAAAAGCAACAAAATTAATTTATTAATTATGGGATGCCGGCGTATGTCGAACCTCAATATTTTATAAATCTATATTACGAATTTGATAAAAGATCAGATGTTTATAGTTTTAGTGTAATTTTATGGGAAATTTCAAGTGGTGAAGTATTGTATAAATCATTTGTTATGATAGAGTCTATTGTTATTCATATTTTTCAAGGAAAGAGAGAAAAAGATATTGAAGGCACACCAGAAAAATATATAAAGATTTATAAAGAATGTTGGGATCAAGATCCTGAAAAGCAACTAGAAACAATATCAATAGTTTTTGAAACTTTAAAATTATTTTATGAAAATTAATATTTATTTTATTTTTATTTTTGTTTTAATAAATATTATGAATAAACAAGTTTTTAAAATATATTAAATAAATTATTTAATAATTATTTTAAATATATTATTAATAAAGATTTTTTATAAATATCAAAGTTTATTTATTTTTATTCATTATATAAAATTTTTTAATTGAAAATGTTTGAAAATTTAAGAATTGTTGTTGGTTTGAAAAATGTTTTTCGATCAAATGAATTTGATTTGATTGATGAGCAAGATCATGTGAAATTAATTGAGATATTAGGATCAGAAGATGTCAAAACTAAAGATTTACGTAGAGATATTTGTTTCGATAAATTTTCCAAAACAAAACAAAGATTGATCACAGAATCAGTTAATATGTTAATTCCAGAATTGTATTTGGAATATTACAATAATATGAATTTTTGGGAAAAGATATTTTATTATTTTACTACCTTTTTGAAAAATTATTATTTGACTAATACATTAGTTAGGAGAGGTGTTGTTGAGATGTATATGGATTTTTTAGAAGCATATAAATTACAAATATTAGTTGTATTCAAAAAGTTATTAGTTAGTAAAGGAGTTGTTATCATCAATTGTAAACATGGAAAGGATAGGACAGGTTTGATTTGTATGTTAGTCATGTTATTATGTAATGTTCCTGATGATATTATTGTATCAGAATATTCGAAATCTTTTGATAATTTAAATGTTGAAGAGAACGTTAAAGAATTAATGGTTAAAGATATGGAATTATGTGGATTATCAGAAGAATTTATTTATTCAAAAGAAGAATATATGTTTGATTTATTGAAAAAATTTAAGTATAAATACAAGTCAGTAAATCATTATTTAAATAATTTAGGTTTTAATTATTCAGATCAATATTTATTTATATCGAAATATAAGATATAAATAATAATAATTTTATTAATAACATATAATAAATAATTTATTAATAAATAATAAAATAATGATAATATAATAAAAATAATTGATAAGATATATTATAAAAAAAAAATAAATAAATTATAAAATAAATTAACTATTTAGATTTAAAATTTGACTATTAAAAATTACTTCTTTTTTAATATTAATATCTTCAATAATTTCATTAGTATCTTCTTCCATTTCATCATTAGATAAATATTTCTCAGGATGTTCAGAGATAAAAGTTGTGCTATTACTTGTATTAATATCTTTTTGATATTCAGATGATTTTTGTTTGTTTTTATCAAAAGATTTTTCTGAGATGTTATTTTTTTTTTTTAATTTAGAATTTAAAGATAATTGCATATTATTTAAGAATGTTTTTAATTCGTTAATTCTTCCAATTTGTTCTTTTTCATCCATATTTGAATTTTGGATAATTTGTTCAATTGTTTGAAGAGGTATTCTGAGATCAGTTGTTAATTTGTAGTTTTTAAAATCTAGACTAGATTCTGTGTTGATATCTAATTGATTGATTCCAGATACAATATTATCTAAAATTTTTTCTTCTAGAGTTTTTTTAATCGCTTTTTTGTCTCTTATTTTCATTTTTTCTCAAATTATAGAACTTAAAATAATATTTTTATTTAGTTTAGCAAATTCTTGAAGGTTGATATTATTTGTGTGAGATATGATGAATTGTACACAAGTAGAACTGGTGAATAATAATCTATATTCATCTTTTTTAGGAATATAACTAACAAATAAATGATTAATTTCATGGCAATATATTTAGCATTTCCCATATAAATTTTATGAGGATCTGAAATATCTTTACTGAAAAGTTGAATTAGTTTAAGATTATCTTCATCTTCAAGATCCCAAGAAGTAGGTCTGACACTTGATTTAAATCTGATACTTAATATATTATCATTTGGTTGATTGTATGAATTTTGATAATTGAAAGTAAAAATATAACTAGAATCAGATTTTTTATTTTTATAGTAATCTTGATATTTATCAAAGTTTTGATTTGCAAAGTTATTGAGTAGAATTAAATGATCTTTATCGTTCATTTTGAATTTTCTTTTTGGATTTTTTCTTGAAGGAATTTTAGATTAAGTTGTTTTATAGATAATATAATTGATAATCTATACTATATTTAGAAATTTTAATTATTAATTAATTTTTTTTCTATAATTTTAAGCATTTTTTTATTAATAATCAAATTGATTCTGATATTAATAATTCTTTCTTATTTTATTATTAATTTTTCTGTTATTTCGTTTGTGAGTAGTATGATCATATTGAAGTTACTGCGTTTAATATTTTTTGTGATTAATAATTTAATTTTTTCGTAATTGATACTAGTGATATATTTCAAGTAATCAAAAAGTAGTTTTTTGCGAAACATATCTTTAAAATAATATATTTTATTATAATCAAGAATTAAATTAATAATAGTAGCAAAAATATTTTTATCATCTGATTCTAGTATTAGGTTGTTCCATATAGGTTTGATTAATAATTTAAAAAAAAACCTATTTATCAATAGGTAATTAAGTTTATTTTTATGATTATTAATATTATCAAATTTGATAATGTTTAATATTATTTCAGGAGGTAGATTAATCATTTTATGATTATTTTTTGGAATATGTTATTTTTATAGGAATACATGATTATTAATTTAATTAGTTTATAAATAATGTTATTTTTTTTTAAATGTTAGTTAAACAAAGAAATAATAAAACGATGGATTATTCATTTGAAATAGATATCAATAGTTTATTGAATTTTTTTTTGTTTTTTTTTGTTATTTTAGTTTTAAAATCGTTATTTAAAAAGAAAGAAAAATATACTTCGAAAGAAAAATATATTTCATATGTTATTATTATTCCTTATAAACAAAATGGTGAAATATTGATTTAGAACGATTATCATCATTACATTATGGATGTTATGGATGTCCTGGTGGTAAAGTTGAAAGGAATGAATCATTTATTGATGCTGCTAGAAGAGAATTATTAGAAGAAACATCAATAATAGCAATAAATAAGATTGAATTATTGTTTATTAATAAAACAATAGAATTTCAGATTTATATTTATAAAACGTTGGTTGATGATTTGGTTGATGTTAAAAATAACGAACCTGATAAATATAAAAATTGGTTTTGGACTAATAAATTTTATAATTATAATTTAACTCTAGCAATGGAATTTTTTAAAGCAGAAGTATTGAAAAATATAACACCTAATTATATAGTTATTTTAGGACCTTCTAGTGTTGGGAAATAATGTATTATGACATCATTAAAAAAAGAAATAGAAAAAGAAGGATTTTCTGTAGAACTTGCTTCTGAATCTATATTAAGAGGTCACGAATATTTGTTAGATTACAAAAAAGATGAGATTAAATTTGAATATGCATTATTATATCAATGTAGGAATGAAATGATGTATTCTAAGAAGGATTTTGTGATTGTTGATAGAGATATTTTTGATGGTGATATTTATAAGATGATATATAGTTTTAATCCAAATATTATTGAAAAGGAACGAATTGAATTCAAAGATTCTATGTTAACGTTTTTAATTTTGTGTTCTGACGAAAATATAGAAAGAAATTATAATAGTAGAGACAAAAAATATAGAAAATTTACTTTAGAACAAACTAAAGATATTTTAAGGTCATATAGACAAGATTTTAAAAAGAATGCTTGTAAAAACACAATTATTATTAATAATGATAATGATTTAGAAGATGCCGTTAAGGAGATTAAAGAATATTTAGATCCATTTTTAGTCAAATTTCAGTCAAATTAATAATTATTTTTGTTTTATTATTAATATTTTTTATTTTATATAAATCATTATGTTTGTTTTTTTTTATTTATAAATTAATCATGGATTTTATTTATTATTCAGATAATATGTTATCGATTCTTATATTTATTATTTTTTTGATATTGATTACAATCATTAAATATTTTGTTTTTAAAAGAAATACCAAAGTTATTATCATCACAGGAGTGATAGGCGCAGAAAAAACTACCTTAGCAAATTATTTAGTTAAATATTTGAAAGGTATTGGAAAAAAAGTTTTATTAGAAAAAGAATTATCTTTAAAATTTGAAACGGAATTAGATATTTATTATAAAGCTTTAAAGAAAAATCCAAATGATAACAGTATTTGTTTTTGGTTTCAAGATAAGATTATTACGGAATATGGTATATATTATAAAAAAATAGATTTTAGGAAATATGATTATGTGATTTTAGATAGATCACATTCAGATACTATTTTTTTTACAAATGTTGGTATCATGGAAGAATTTTAC